TTCCTGAGGAAGGCACTATGGATGTCTTTCATTCTTTCTTCTCACCTCTTTCTCAAGTATCCAATGATGTTGGAGCCTTCATGTGAGTTTAGTTTCTCCTGAGGAGGAATGTAAACCGATCACAGTTGTTGAGCCACATGGGATATGATTCCTAAGTGGAAGCCCCCTAGTATTTTCCAGAGGAAGGCACTATGGGTCTGTTCACTTAGTTCCCTTAGTTCATGTAGGATTTCTCAAGTATCCAATGATGTTGGAGCCTTCATGTGAGTTTAGTTTCTCCTGAGGAGGAATGTAAACCGATCACAGTTGTTGAGCCACATGGGATATGATTCCTAAGTGGAAGCCCCCTAGTATTTTCCAGAGGAAGGCACTATGGGTCTGTTCACTTAGTTCCCTTAGTTCATGTAGGATTTCTCAAGTATCCAATGATATTGGAGCCTTCATGTGAGTTTAGTTTCTCCTGAGGAGGAATGTAAACCGTTCACAGTTGTTGAGCCACATGAGATATGATTCCTAAGTAGAAGCCTCCTAGTACTTTCCCGAAGAAGGCACTATGGGTCTGTCTACTTAGCTCCCTTTCTTTGGTAAGCTTGTCTTGAAGCTTGAAGAATGGGATTGTTTTTTCCCTTTAGAGTTTGGCTTAGAGATTTGATTAAGGTTTTGTGTAGGGATTTTGCTCAGGGGTTTGATTATGGTTTTGTCTAGGGGTCCTGCTCAGAGTTTTGGCTTAAGCTTTTGGATAGGAATTTGCCAGGATGGTTAGCCCTTTCCTTCTCTGTGTGTTGATTGACTTGTGTGGTGCTGTGCTGCATTAGACTTAGGGGTTCATATAGATATTTCTGAGATAGGTGCATCTTAGAAATAAGCCTGCTTATGTGCATGAGAAGTTGAGGTGGTCCTCCTTCTGCTTGATTGTTATTGAGTGGCTTTGCTTGTTGGTATTTGGTAGAGCTGAGCTCCCTTACCTCTGTGGTTTGTGGCCTTTGTGCCTTGCTTGTTTGGTTGTTGCATTCATGCATATTTCCAGTATTTCTTTACTTTGCAGTGTTTCATATTTGCTGTTTAGTTCTGTTGCCATGATCCCTTAGGAGCTCTAACTTCTCTGCTGTGGAGGAGTTATGATAGACATTAGGTTGGTTGACCAGGCATGATAACATTAGGTAGATTCCCCTTTTTCAACCATAGTTTTAGGGTGTCTCTTTCTTTTCTCAAAACAACAGAAAAACACTTAATAAAGGATAAAACGAAAGTGAATTTATTTCTTCCGTTAAAAGATTTGAACAAACATCAAAACCTTTTGTCCTCCTGGTCTGTGAAAACCCTTGGTTAAGGTGCATTTTCCCATAAAAAACACCTGAACAGCTTGTGTCGTGCGTAGCCCGAACTATGTTTGCTCTGATCTTCCATGTCGTGTGGAAGTACGTAGGCACAGGACGCGATGTCCTGGCGAGCAACCTTTCCCCCCTGTCTAGACGTAGGTAGTCGAACTACGTTGACTCTGACTTTCCCATTGCACGAGGGAGTACGTAGGCCCAGAACGACGTATGTTCTATCGAGTCCTGTCCTTTTCTTTTCTTTTCAGACTGACCACTAGCGTAGATAGATAAACACACCCTTTTCCTTATAAACACCAAGCGTGGATCCCGTCAAGTACGACGGACGTGAGGGGTGCTAATACCTTCCCCTTGCGTAATCGACTCCCGAACCCAGGTTTTGGTTGCGATGACCATACCTTTCCCGTTTTTTGCAAGGTTTACTTCGATCGTTTCCTTTCCCTCCGTTGGGATAAATAACGCACGGTGGCGACTCTTCTGTCAGCCGGCGCCGATTTTCGCAGTAGCGACACTTTCCTGCATATGCCATGTTGTTTGGTTGGGGTACACATGGTAAAATGGGACGTCCTCATTGCATGTATGACACAAAGGCGTTTACATTGGAAAAAGGAGGAAAAAGTTTGTGGTTTGACTGTCACTATAGATTTCTACAAGAAAACCATAGACTTAGAAAAACAATAATTATTTTAGAAAAGGTGAAAAAGTAATAGATCTGCCTCCCCACCGTTTGCCATCAGTTGAAGTATGGAACATGGTTTGTGATCTACCAAAATTTACAGACAATGGAAAAGCAATCTGAACTCTAGGATACAGGGACAAACACAATTGGACTAAAAGAAGTTATTGAAAAGATAATTTATTGCGACATGATTTTGATGTTATACACATAGAGAAGAATTTTTTCGATAATGTATTTAACACAGTGATGGATGTCCAAGACAAGACAAAAGATAATGAAAATGCTAGAAAGGACATGGAACTATTGTGTAATCGAAAAGATTTAGAGTTAAAGACTCTACCGAATGGAAAACTATTAACACCCAAAGCTACTTATAGTCTAACTCCCCAAGAAGCCAAGCTTGTTTGTCGATGGTTAACTGAATTGAGAATGTCTGATGGTTATACTTCTAACTTGGCATGGTGTGCTAACTCCAACAATAGGAAGTTGAATGGAATGAAAAGTCATGATTGCCATGTTTTCATGGAACGATTGCTTCCAATTGCCTTTAACTCATTGCTATCAAAAGTGCTTAATCCACTAACTGAAATTAGTCATTTTTATAGAGATATTTGTGCGTTAGTTTTAAGAGTGGATGACCTCATTAAGTTGGACCAAGACATTCCTTTAATTCTATGCAAGTTGGAACAAATTTTTCCACCTGATTTTTTCAATTCAATGCAAGTTGACCTCATTTAATTCTGTGCAAGTTGACCTCATTTAATTTTGTGCAAGTTAGAACAAGTTGACCTCATTAAATGTTTTGAGGAAAGATGGGTTATTAGTATTTGAAACTCGTAAGTTTCTTTCTTATATTTTAAGCATATGCACATGTTTCCATTTTTTTAAAATTTAATTAATACTTATTCAAATTATTGTTGTTTAGTTTCTTGCCAGTTACGCCTGCTGCGGTTAGCATAAAAGAAGTTATTCAAGAGTTATATAAACAATCTTGGAAGACTTTTGAACAACTTGTGAAGAAGGATTAGGAGGAGTATAAAAAATGGTTTGACAAATTTCGGGTATAATATTTTCTTTAAGCAAATAAATTTTTAATTACTAACTTTCTTGTTTTTTAATTATCTAATAACTTTTTCAATATTTTAGGAGAAGTGTGCATGGCGCACACTAGATAAAGAGATGGTTGAGCATAATTTTAAGAAGAGAGCAATAACCCGACTTTCTGACATGCTTAGGCTTGCAAGGCTTGATTGGGAAGAAATAGGGATCAAGCCTCCATGGATGGGCGAAAACGTATTTAAAGAAATGCTTGCTTATTAGAAACAACTGAGTTTAAGAAAAATCTGAAAAAGTAAAGCAACGTGGAGCATCAGAAAATGGAGTCGCTAAGCATAGGGCTAGAAGCATTAGTATTGCTGATCATGTTGGACGAATGGCAATTATATTTTCATCTCACTACTTTTTTTAAATTATATTCTTAATTGTGGTAAATTTTTAATTAAAGTTCTATGTGTATTAATTAGACTAATGCTAAAGGAAGAACCCCATTAATGCAAGAGTTTCATGAGAGGACTTATCGGGGAAGAGATGGAGAGTATAGCGACGAATGTGCGGGAAATACTCAAGTAAGATGATATTAATATTTAAATGCTATATTTAATTTTTTTTATTTAAATTAATTGTCTAAACTCTATTATTTAATTATTTTTTTTTACGTATGTGTAGGCGGAGTACCATTGACTGAAGGCAAAATTTTTATCTCAACATCCTGAGTTAGGTGGTCCATGGGGGCAACATCCTATTGATTCAGTTGTTCATCAATATCTTTGAATAAAAGCAAGTAAGAGAGATAATAAAAATGGGAAAATTTATGCTACTGGACGTTTAGCTGACAACTACAAAAAAAGGGATATGTTTTCTTTATTTAGGAGAATTGCAGACGGGGAAGGGTCTTCACGTCCTCCGACATTAACCCCTCAAATGGATGAAACAATTAGACAATTAGCTCAAAGTGAAGCAACACATGAAGTTGCGACATGTGAAGCTGTAAAAAATGCTGAATTGGAAGAAATGAGAAGAAAACAAATTGAGTTGGAAGAAGCATTGAAAATTTCACAATAGCAAATATTGCGTACACAACAACAAATACAAGAACCAATGCAACAACAAGTGCAACAAATGCAACAAATATTTCAACAGCAAAATGGTGGTGGCTGTTAGATGTCCAATTATGCTTATTTGAGCTATCAAATGTGGGCATCTTTCGCTCCTTTTTGTCTAATTTCGGTTCAAAACTGTCTTGCTTCTGGTGATATGCGATATGATGTGAAATGCTCTTGGTCCTTTTAATTTGTGTGTTATTGTGCAGTATTTGAGCATGAAAGAGCAAAATTTGAAGACACAAGAAAGTTGACAAAGGAATCAAGAAAGAACAAGAGCAAAAGCAACTCGCTAGGCGAACATCTGGCGAGTGTTGCAGCGAGTTGTTCGCTAGGCAAGCCCATAGCGAGCTGCTAGCGAACACTCCCAGACTTGGGCAGAATCAAAATGGCATTATTCGATGGCAGCGAGGTAGGTGGCGAAGAACTCGCTAGGCGAGCACCTAGCGAGCAAGTAGCGAAGCATTCCAGAATCTTTTCCTCAGCCCTCGCTAGCATGTTCGCTAGGCGAGGCTGTTATCTCGCTAGGCGAATGAGGATGCGAGCGTGACAGGACATCAACTTTTTCTATATATAGCCCTATGTACTTTTTGAACAGATACCATTTCTTTTCACTAGTTTTGTTGCATTAGAGATTTTGTGACCTAGAAACCCTCTATCTCTTATTTTCTTCATTTCTAAACATTAATTTACAAAAAGAAGGTTGATTCTCATCCAAGTGGGATTCTTCGACTCGGATGTTCATCAACCTTCTTCCAAAACTTCTTTTGCAAGCTACCATGAAAATGAGTAGCTAAGTTCTTTATTTTGTCAAGGTTAGATGTAGGTGATCATTAAGCTTTGTATGTATATGGATGATCTTCATTTGTAAACTCTTGGATGATGAATATATGGTGAAAACCTTGCTTTATCTATAACTCTTTGTGTCGGTTTATGATTGAAAGATATTTTCCAACTCTTGACCTAGGTTTTCATCCTTCTATTTTCTTAAGCTAGAAATAGTTTTGAATGTGGTTGTTCATGAAAAATGTTAAACCTAAATGTTGTCATTTTGATAGATTGTGTGAGAAATCAACAATGGATCAAAATGGGAAAAACCACAATGTGAGTTAGAAATAATCACATAGGGAGGATGTTGTGAATGTGTTTATCATCTAAAGGTGTTTATGCGTATTGTTGATCGGACATATACACGCAAAGTGATTACCGAACCCTAACTTTGACAATCTTCATTAAATCGTAAAATCAATCTTCTACCGCGATTTATTACCTTTTATGCAAGATACCGTTACTAAAAACCAAACCCCTTTTGTTACTAAAAAGTTAAGAACTCGATAACTTTCGTACGACGACAATATCTCAAATTCCCTGTGGAGACGATAACAAAAACCCGATACTTTATCACTGTAGTAACAGTGGCAGAGTTGGAGTGGTTGGTAACCAAGGAGGGGTAAGCGAGAATGAGGAAGAAAACGAGAGTGACGAGGAGGATTATTCGGATCAATGATGATGAATTTAAATATTTTGAACTAATTATGAACTTATTTATTTATGAATTTTTTAAATTAAGTTTGATTTTAAATATTTTTAATTATGTTTCAATTTAACATATTTAATTAACTTCTGAATTAAAATTATTTATTATATTTATATTATTATAAATATTAAAATTAATATTTAGAATAATATAAATATATCATATTTTTTTATTATATTGTTTATGGTTTGCATGGTGTATTTTATTTGGCAAATTTAAATTTTTTGTCGGGTGAAATTCACTAAGCAAAATTCTGAATATTCAAATTTTGTTAGGTGAAGTTCACTCAGCAAAATTTTGAATATTCAAAATTTGCCAGGTTAAATTCACCTTGCAATTTTCTGCCTTTTTTCTCTGCTACACACATGCTTTGCTCTACTCTGCGTGTTGGATTTTGTGAACTATGGAAAAGAGGTTGCGAGGTGAAATACACTTGGCTAACTTGTGGCGTGAATTTCTCCTTACAGCTTGTTGTGACTAACGTTTTTGCGAAATATCTGTTACACCTCGCAAAAGTTACGTTGTAGGATGATATTTGCATTTGCGAAGTAAATTTCACTAGTCTAATTTCACTTTTTCTTGTAGTGTTAGTTTTCACTTTTCACTATGGAGAAAAAAGAATCCCTAAATAGGAAAAATAACAATAAATTTGTGATGCAATAGTAAAGTCAAGTGGGGAAGGAGTCAACTGTAATTTACATAATCGAATATTCAGCAGAGACATTTTAGAATGAATTAAATTTCTTCTTCTCGTGATTCTGCTAAGAAAGGGTGAGACAAATTTATTGCCTACTGTCTCTGTTGACTTAGAATTTTAAATTGGAAAATGCATGTACGGAATTAACTTTGATGGTACTCAGTACTCACCTCTTTTGGACAAGTTTGTTCAATGAATTTGTTTTTATGTTTTGATATGCAGAACAGTGTAGGGTCCATTAAATTAAATTAAAATTTTAATGAAAGGGACCAGAGATCCACTTGTTTAAAAGGATTTAAAACATTGTATAACATTCTGAGATGAAAAGAATATCAAAACTTTGGATCTATTTTGTTTTAAACATTTCATCTTTTCATTTTGCATGTAACGTTTTCATTTTAGCATTTCCTAGAATCGTTTACTTTAATGACATAGTTATGAAATAAATTCTTAAAATGACACATTAAAAATAATGCTTAAAATGTAACCTTTTTAATTTTTGTTGTGAGAATTCTGCCATTTATTGAATGGAAGGCCATTTAGTGTTGATATATTTATTTTATTTATGAAACTTTTTACAAAACTTAGCAAAATTTTCGTAAGAAACATGAAATTTTCTGTTGATTTTGTCATGAATCTTACGATAATTATCTTGAGGAAGTGTGTTATACTCCATCCCTATATTCATTTATCATTTGTATAACATTTTAGGTCAATCATTTATGCATAGCTAACTAAATTATCAAGATATGACTTTGATTGTTTCATTTGTGGAATTAGGTTTTGCTTCAAGAGGCTCAAAGGATTGATCAATCAAAGTTTTGGATGGATCACTAACCACCAAGTTCTCATACACTTAAGAGATTTCCATCCATCAAATATCAAGTGCAAAATGGCTTCATTACAAGTTCTTCAAGGTTCAATTTCATCTGACCATGAAATTAGGATTTTTCAACCAAAGTCAACTGCATCTTTGACTTTTGATCAAGACATGATCTCAAGCATTGAGACATGATTCAAGACATTCAAATACACCCTTGGAGTCCATCCATTGTTTTCAAATAGCTCAAGAGATTGAAATCATTGAAGATCAAGAAGTGAAGGTTCATTTGATACATAAGTCATTGACTGTAAAGTCAAACCTTTGACTTTAGGTTTTTTTTGGCCAAATATGAACTTCTCAAGTCAAATTACATGAAAATATGTTTTTGAGTTTGATCAAGAAAAATCAAGAGAAATGAGCTTACTTGCAAAAAGGCCATAACTTTCAATCTAGACATCCATTTTCTTTGCTCCAAAGATTGAATCGAAGAGCTCATTCCATATTACAATTTTTTCCTTGAGG